TTCTTTGAGCTCCCACACTCGTTGGAAAACTTTGCCCAAACTCAACCAGCGGACACGAGAGTGGTAAAGTAAGTCGTGGTGATCCGCATCAGTTTCCTCCAGAAACTTAATAAACTGACGGTGCTGAAGTCCCTTTGTTCGAATGAAATTAACAAGCCTTAAGACTGGATTAACAACATGATTAAGTTGTAATATAGACTTGCACAATGATTCCTGGTGAATAATACAGTGAAGAAAAATAACATCTTGGTTAGGGTTCTCCCCTTTCACTTTATCCTGAATTCTTTTTAGCAGTCCAACATTTTTTCCAGTTAAATTTGGAGATCCATCTGTCGTGACATTAGCAAGTTTACTCCATGGTAGCTCCCATTTATTTAAAAAAAAAAAAGTTCCGTCATTTTGATGTATGTACATATGTGCTTTATGTTTTTTATTATTTATTTACCACAAGTAAAGGTCAGGAATTGTTATCTTTCTTTTAATTTGTTTTTACTGTTTCACTTCATTACTGCTGTGTATGTGCTCCATGTGAGTGACATAAGTGCTTATGTATGTGGGTTCCGACTTACGGCGAAAAATGCGTATGTCACACCGTAGGAACGGATCTCCGACGTAACCTGAGGACCTACTGTAAAGCTCTCTGGCACCAGTTGCACATGTGTGTGTGTTTCCACCTGTCGTTGTCGATTGTGAATTTGGTTGGCCCTTCTATTATAGAGAAAGGGCAAATAGTGACATTAAAATATTTCTTCTAATTAATTTCCTTTCAGTGTGCACAAATTCATGCACCAGGCCACTAGTTTAATAGAAGAGACCACAGAGGCAAGAAACAGGAGAGCTATAAATCTATCACCAAAATTGGAAAAATAGTAAATTGATTTATGACACATTGGCATCTTTGTATATCACAGATAGTACTTACTTAAAAATGCGATCTAAAAAAATTTTCCATGATATCGGGCCAACTAATTATTAGTAATAAAAACAGAGCTGAATTCTCTACTCATATTAAAGTAAATTCCATATGAGATCAAAGGTTTAAATGTAAAAAAATGAATACTAGGAAGAAAAATGAGTAAAAGTTTCATGCTATATTTTTGAAAGTTATAGTCTTGGAGTAGAGAAAGGACTAAACTTGATATCAAATCTGGAAAGTATGAGCAAGATGATAAACTGGACTACCTAAAAATGTAAAAATTCTGTATGAGACAGTGGATTAAACATAAAATTAGAAGACACACTATAAATTTGGGGAAGATATGGAATATCTGTGTTAGATTAAGGAATTCATATCAGAAGAAAGTAGTCAACATATATATGAAAATGTGCTGCTTCTATCAGTTATATCGAAATAAAAATTAAAACAACAAGATTGTATTTGTTTGTTTTATTGTCAGAGTGAAGATTGTTGGTAAAGTGTAGACAAGCCAGTATTTTGTATACTGTTGGTTGTAGGTGCCTTTTGAATATCTATTAAAATTCAGGTATCTTTGCTAGAGAAAGTCAGCTTGTAAATACTTGTTACAATAATCTTTGTGTAGGCATAGCACTACTTAACAAGGGCATACATTGCAGCCTTTTTGTAATTTTTTTAAAAAGGAAGGGGAACCTTGGCTGGTATGGTTCAGTTGGTTTGGCAGCGTCCTGTGCATCGAAAGTTTGCCAATTCAATTCACCGTCAGGACACATTGCCTGGGTTGTGGGCTGGATACCTGGTCAGGGAGTATGTGGGAGGCAGCTGATGATTTGTTCTCATATCAATGTTTCTTTCTCTCTCTTCCTTTCTTTCTAAAAGTCAATTTAAAAAATATTTTTTGAAAATTTTGTGCCCGTTTAACTACATGCACCCATTGACATAAGAATGTCAACTAAAAAAAAAAACAAAAAAAAAACAAAGAATGCCACCTAAATTTAAAAAAATAAAATAAAATGAAGGGGAACTTCCCATGTGTTTACATGTTTATAAGTAAAATACTAGATATCCATATAAAATCATATTTATGTGTGTTGAAATGGTAAAATTCCTGTTATTGAGTGGTATGTGTTTGCCTTGTTTTGAAAGAGTATTGTGGATAGTATGTTATCTCATTGTTAAAAAACATTTTGTTAGAAAATCTGTTTAACCTTTATAATATTGGTAGAGTTTTGCTTCCAATAATAGAGGAAGGATAGCCCTAGCTGGTTTGGCTCAGTGGATAGAGCGTTGGCCTGCAGACTGAAGGGTCCCAGGTTCAATTCCGGTCAAGGGCATGTACCTTGGTTTGGGGCACATCCCCAGTAGTGGGTGTGCAGGAGGCAGCTGATCGATGTTTCTCTCTCATCGATGTTTCTAACTCTCTATCCCTCTCCCTCCCTCTCTGTAAAAAATCAATAAAATATATTAAAAAATAAATAAATAAAATAAAGGAAGGGTAGTAGTCAATACCAGGGCCTTTTGAATTAGACTTCCTGGTTTTGTTTTCTGGTTCTTCCACTTAACTGTCTTAGTGCCCTAGGGAAGTTAATCTTTCTATATCGCAACTTTTTCATATCTAGTATGGGAGTGATAATAATTATGAGGAATAATGAGATGATGCATATGAAGAGTTTGTTGTGCCAGGCACCGTATTAAATGTTTGCTGGGTAGCTGTTATTGCAAGGAATGTAACCTTAAGGAAATAATCTTTAGTACATACATATATTTATCATAGCATCTTTATGTTTTTAAATGAAATAAATTGAAATGTTCAGTGATAGAATATTATGTAAATTATTAAAACTGGAGAATATTGTGTAGCCATTAAAATTATTTATGTAGGGCAAAATATTAATGATTAGTGATTATTCATTAAGGATCTGTGTGAGTCCTTAGTACTATTCTTGCAAATTATCTGCAAGTTTGAAATTACATTAAATGTTACCCAGATCCCAAAACAGTTTTGGAAAGTTGCTTGTGAAATTTTAATAACTTTGGACAGTGCATTAAAGATGAAATCAGTTAGGAAATACACATCTGATTTGTTTTTGTCTTGTCTTTTGAATTATTAGTGATCAGAAAGGGGCTGAAAAGAAACATTAAAATATAAAGTGATTGTCTCTGTGTGATGGAATAATTTTTTTCCTTTTTGTGGTCTATATTTGTATATTTTCTATCATAAGTATTCATTATATATAAATAACCTTATGATACATTTAGTATGTTCCATTCTTGTGTTGTGGTGGGGTTTTTTTTAATATATTTTTATTTCAGAGAGGAAGGGAGAGGGAGGGAGAGTTAGAAACATTAATGATCAGAGAGAATCATTGATTGGCTGCCTCCTACACACCCCCACTGGGGATTGAGCCCGCAACCCAGGCATGTGCCCCTGACCAGAATCGAACCCAGGACCCTTCAGTCTGTAGGCCGACACTCTATCCACTGAGTCAAACAGGCTAGGGCCAATCCTGTTTTTTAGGTGAGAATTTCACTGTGTTTAAATGTAAAATTTTATATAAAAACTAGAGGCCCAGTGCACAAATTCATGCATGGGTGGAGTCCGGCTGGCCTGCCTAGATGGGGGCCAATCCGGCCAGGCCGAGGGGCTGCCCCCCCCCCCAATCTGGCCAGGTGTACGTCATAGTGACCGGTTGTTCAGGTTGTTTGGGCGTTCCGGTCACTTGGCTTTTTTATATATACTAAGGGCCCAGTGTACGAATTCGTGCACCTTGAAAGGAACTGTGGGCTGCAAGGCTGCTGTAGGCACTGGGCTTGGTCTCAGACCATCCTCCGCACCCCCACCCGGTCCCTTTCACCGCAGCCCCTGGTCACCTGTCTGTCAGCAGCCCCGCTCCCGCCGCCGCCGCTCCCATGCGCTGAGAGCAATTGGGGCTGACACCAGCAGTGGGTGCGAGCGGAGCTGGCGCCATCAGCGGGTGCAGGCGGCAGCTGCTGACCTGATTGCCTCTCAGGAGCAGGGGAAGGTGGAGAAGCCCTCAGAGGCAATTGGGGCCGGCAGCGGGTGCAAGCGCTGTGCTGGACTGCGGTGTACAGGAGCAAAGAATTTTCAGTAACCACCGGAGGCTCGCCCCGATGACAGCGACCTGCATCCTGCCTTGGTCTAACGCCCCCGCTCACCTGCTCCACCATTCTGCCATGGCCAACACCCGCCATGTTCCGCACACGCCCCTGATGGTCAGCGCACGCCCCCTGATGGTCAGGGCACATCATAGCAACCGGTTGTTCCAGTTGTTCGGCCATTTGGTCTATTTGCATATTAGCCTTTTATTATATAGGATAAAGTTTTAAGTATTATTGAAAAGGTGTAAATTTGAATTTGTATTCATAATTTCTGTTGTTTTTATGTTCCCTTAGGGCCTCTTTTAAATAGCTTATATAAACAAATTATTTTAAACGTAGATATTAGTAAAAGCTAATGTTCTTTAGTATACTAATAAATCTTGCTTGATTCTGTTCCCTTATCCTTATAGTTTATCTATGTTAACACAATGAAGGAGAGATGAATCAGCTTGTAAAGAAAGGTGGCTAATGTTATACCCAGATTTCAGGATCCCCAAGAGACCAGCCGTGTCCGATGCAAAAGCAAAGAGTCTTTTATTCAAATCTGGGCTTGGCTCCCCTACCCTCCTTACTGACGCAGCAGCAAGTGGCAGAGAGAGAGAGCCAGCCCTGTGGGGAGAGAGGTTTTATAGTAAGGGGAGGAGAGAGGACTGTGGGCCCTGCCGATTGGCCAGGCGCAAGTCGGTGTCTCGTTACACAGGATGTGGTTGTATCTACGGCGCGCACTTCCCTTGATTATCATTGGTTAGTTTAAAGAAATCCTAGGTGTGGCTAGCAGAAGCTTGGACTTCCGGGAGGAAGCTTCTTGCTGAGCACATGGCTGCTCCCCAAAAATGGAGGATTCGGGGCAAGATGGAGGGCGTAGCCCTCGCCCTTTCAGCTAATGAGAATGCTTAAGTACTTCTATAATAACTTAAACTTATTACATAAATTATAAATTAATATTTTAATTTTTGTCTTCTAGATCATAATATCAGTCTAGTATCAATGGAAGTAACAGTAAATGCTGTAGCTGGAGCTCTTAAAGCTTTCTTTGCAGATCTGCCAGATCCTTTAATTCCATATTCTCTTCATCCAGAGTTATTGGAAGCAGCAAGTAAGTACAAGCCTCCTCTCCCTCCCTCCCTCTCTCCCTCCCTCCCTCCCTCCCTCCCTCCCTTCCTTCCTTCCTTCCTTCCTTTTTGGAGAGGGATGATGGGTTTTTGTATATTGATTGCTATGTGTTTAAATCAGCCATGCACTGGAATGTGTAGCTAATGAAGGTATTTTTCTATAACATCAAGATATATAGATAAAACATCAAGATCCCTGGAGTTGGTCCCCAGAAATATTTAGGTTTTGTTAGTCTTCCAGGTGACTGGATGCTCCTAGAAGTTTGAAGTTCATTGTACTAGAACTTTGAGAGTTATGTTTTTAATTCAAACTCAAAGGCATTGTAGGAAAATTAAATAAACTTTTCAATTGAATGTATGTATAATGTACTTAAGTAAAACATTAACTGGTACACGTGTATTTAAATTTTTTTTAAGTCAAATTAACTTTGGCCTCATGTCTCAAGTCGTTTTATTTAAAAGAAGGCAGGAAGAAAGAATACTTATTCAGTATTTATTCCTGCTTTGGCATCATTCATCCTGCTATTTCTATTAAACAAATATTCATTTGTTGCCTGAAAAAATGACATAGAAGATCTATTCAAGTATTGGGTAACTTAGTGCTTACTCCACATTTTCTCCTCAAAATAATGAGTGTTTTAAGCATTTCTCTTTATTTCCTTTTGTTTACAAATGTTAAGGCTCTTTAAAGTGAAACTACTTTCTTATAATTTTGATTATGTTAAAATTCTTGGTTAAAAAAACTTTTCATTAAAAATCACTATAAAAAACACAATATATGGTATAGTTGCCTTACACAGACTTTCATATGTAAATTGGAAAATGGTTCACTTGATAGCTTACATTTTCTCAATAAACAGCAGCCTCAGAATTTTCCTACTTAGGAAATTTTTGACTACTGATTTAGAAGTAATCTGTGGCAAATCAGATTTGTTAGTACTTGGTTATACTACCTACTTGTGAGTTGGTATGCAGATTGGTCTCCAGAAGAACCCGTTGTTACTTTTTGGAAGAATCGAATGAGGAAGAGCAGTAAAGCACTCCCTTATCTCTTACTTACTGCAGAACCACATTTCTATTATCCTGTTTCATAATTTGCATAAATTTGGAGAATAACTGAGCTAAATGTTTGTACTGCTTGTGAAGATTTTCAGTAAGCAAAGTGGATTATAAATAAGTATAGGGTGATGCTTTTAAATCAGGTATTGGCAAACTATGACCTACAGGCCAAATTCAGCTTGCCATCAAATTTTTATAGGTGCTTGCAAGCTGAGAATGGTTAAACAAAATGAAAAGGAAAAGGAATTTGGTGACATTTAAGAGCCTAACGGCTTCATAAGTAATTAATTGATTCTAAATTAATATAAATTGCTGTACTCTTTCCCATTTTACCATCTTGAATCAACTTTGCTCTATAGTGATTAGCTTTACTTGCAAAAAGGCTAATGCAGTAGGTGATAATGTGTTTTTAGCAGTTTCTTGAGAACATTTTCTTTGTTTTTGTTTACCTATCCTAAAATGATTCAAACACATTCCTGATTGTTTCTTTACAATAAGCATAGTAGGAAGCTTTATCAGATATTTTTAAATGTATGAGTTTCACACAAATTCCTTACTGCTTTAACTTTACAGAAATCCCAGATAAAACAGAACGTCTTCATGCATTGAAAGAAATTGTTAAGAAGTTTCATCCTGTAAACTATGATGTATTCAGATATGTAATAACACATCTAAACAGGTATTTTTATTTTTTTGTTTTTTTGCAAATAAAATGCAGAACAAATTTCAAACATGTAAATATAAATTGCTAATTTTAAAGTAGAAAAAGAGACACCAACTTATTTAAGCCTACAGTTCAATTTTAGTTTCTAAATTATTTTTTATGGATTATTAAAATAGATTTTTCATCAACTTGTTTAAAGAAAGGTGTATGACTCTTAATACATGTAATGATTATTTAAATAGAAAGTGTGGTAAGGTACATGTACTTTATTGTCACTTTTATTCTTTGGCAGTTCTCTTTTGTAGAATCTTAGAATTTTAAGTATAAAATGACAGATAATTAACCAAATCAACCTATTTGAAGTTGGAAAAATTGAGGTTTAAAGAAGGAAATATCATATAATTAATAAATGACACATGACCAGAATCCAAGTCTTTTAAAGAGTCCATTTGCTTTTCCTATCACATTGTGTTGCTTTTTGTATTAAGCTTGTTTTGTTGGAATATTTGACACAATGAAGTTTTATCAGAAACTTGAATTCATGTTACTTATGACTATTACTTAAAATGCAGGACATTAATCCTATTATTAACAACCCTAAATATACTAAACTTCAAGCTTATACTTTTGTTTAAAGATAGTCCTCCCAATGCCATACATTAAGTGAAAAGACAGTATTATATAACAGCTTAAATCTCAGACTGTGAATCAAGCAGGCTTGGTTTTGAAACATATCTAGTTCTGTGACCTTGTGCAAATTACCCTCACTAAGTCTTGATTTTTTTCACCTATGAAAAGAATGAGATTCACAAAGTTGTGGTACTAAATAGAATTATCTACATTTGTATTAATTTTTTTAATAATCTACTCATAATACTTTCTACTAACATTTTTATGAACTGAAGTTTGTTTTTTTTAACTAATAATGTCAATGCTCAAACCAGGTCAATTTCAGCCTCTACCTCTTAGAAGAGAATATTAACCAATGTTTAAGTTATTGCTATCATTATAGAATAAAATTATATTAGCATTTCTAGTATCTATTCTCTGAAGTCTCCTTCCCTGAGAAAATACCAGTATACACAGTATTGCCGTATAATTAGTGGAATTTCCTCTTTTGAAAATTACCATACAAGCCCTAACCGGTTTGTCTCAGTGAATAGAGCGTCGGCCTGCAGACTCAAGGGTCCCAGGTTCGATTCCGGTCAAGGGCATGTACGTTGGCTGCGGGCACATCGCCAGTAGGGGGCGTGCAGGAGACAGCTGATCGATGTTTCTTGCTCATCGATGTTTCTAACTCTCTATCCCTCACCCTTCCTCTCTGTAAAAAATCAATAAAATATATTTTTTTTAAAAAGAAAGAAAATTACCATACAAGTGGTTTGTGGTAAAACAGATGTGCACAGGGTACTATGGGGTACTATAACGAATATAGGGATGGTTTGTGACCATATTATTGTCTGGCCTGATCAAAGTGCTGAAATAAGAATTATTCTTCATTAAAAACTATAGGGAAAAGGGTCAAAGGGAAGAGCATGTTCATAGAATGACAGTGCTAGTCCACCGCCAGTCTTATTTTACACACTGTGTTTGGCTCTAGTGATATAACTACACAGGCAAAAGTGTACGTGATTTGTTGAGGAACAGCAAAGAGGCCTATGTGATTTAAGCAGAGTGATGGAAGGACAGAGTAAGAGATAAGGTAAAAAAGGGAAGAAGGACAGTGGCAGATTATATAGGGCAGTAATACAACTAACTAGCTTTAGTCCTCACAATGTTTTAGTGACAAAACAAGAAGGATGCTTCATGTATGTATGTCACTAGGCACACTGTGGAGTTCAACTGACATTTATTAGGAGGAGGGACAAGACTTTCTCAATGAAAATGGCATTGCATCTTGTTATTTAGAAAGGTTATGGGATGAACAAAAATAGATCCAGAGACAGAAGAATCAAACAGTCCATCAAACTTCAGGGGGAAGGCGGGAGAGGGGCCGGGGGCGGGCTAAAAAATCAACCAAAGGACTTGTATGCATGCATATAAGCATAACTAATGGACACGGACACTAGGGGGGTGAGGGCATGTGCTGGGGGGTGGGGTGGCCGGGGAGAGGTCAATGGGGGGAAAAGGAGACATATGTAATACTATATGTAATACTTTAAACAATAAAGAATTTTTTTTAAAAAGAAAGGTTATGGGGAGCCACCAGAGAGTAGAACAGAGAAATAACATCAGACTTAAATTTTTTTTTTTAATCTTCACTGAAGGATATGTTTAGAGAGAGAAAGGGAGAGAGAGAAACATCCATCCGTTGCCCTCCATACACAACCCAACTAGGAATCGAGCCTGCAACCTAGGTATGTGCGCTGGCACACAGGATTACGCTCCAACCAACTGAGCCACCTGGCTAGGGTCAGGCGACTTTAAAAGGAATACTCACCTAGATTATAATGGCTGCTGTTTGTGCCCAGGTGGCCAGATACTCTTATAAGTGCTATGGATGGCGTAGCAGTGAATAAAGCAGTCACCTATTTCATGGAACTTACATTCTGGTATAAGAAAGAAATCCTATATAATAAAAGGCTAATATGCAAATTGTCCCCTCAGGAGTTCGATCGCTCGCTATGACGTGCGCTGACCACAAAGGGGGCAGCGCGGAACATGGCAGGGGACCAGCAGGCAGCGGCGGGGCGCTGAGGGAGCGAAGAAAGGAGGAGGCAGGGAGGCCGGGAGGCGGGGATCCTCATGGGCCCTGATAGTCAGCCAGGCCTAGGGACCCTACCTGTGCACAAATTTTGTGCACCGGGCTTCTAGTAATAAATATACAATGGATGATTGACGAATTACAAAAATTAATCCATGAGGTTATTTGAGTATATTCTCTCACCCTCAATATTAGTGAGTTATTACTTGAAGTCAGTTGTTTTCTCCTAATTATTTTTCCTTTTTGTTCCTCTCCACTGCTTTAGTTTAGGTTATCATTTCTCGTTTAGGGAACTCATTTCTTTGTAATTGAACTCTCTCCCAAGTAAATGCCACTGTTTTAAACCAAAAAGTATCGATTTTTGGCTGTCCTTATAACATCTTAACATGACTTCAGTCTTTCTCAAAACAAAGTCTTCAAAGCAGCAGCACTACCTGGGAACTTGTTAGGAATACAAATGATCAGGCCCCACCTCATGCATAGCCTTCACTTTCTGTTTCAACAAGCCCTCCAGGAGGTACCCATTACACACAGTTTTTACTAAATTACTCTTTCTACCATTATAAGGCTCATCACCCTGGACTCAACTCAAACATTACCTTTTCAAGGAAGCCTTCCTTGGCCACCCTCATCTCTGATTTGATACCTTTTCTTTCTACTTTTTTTTAAAAAATACGTTTTTATTAATTTTTGAGAAAGAGGGAGAGAGAGAAACTTGGATCATCAGCTACCTCCTCCATGCCCCCCACTGGGGATTGAGCTCCAACTCAGGCATATGCCCTGACCTGGAATCAAACTGACGATCATTTGATGCATGGGACAATACTCAACCAACTAAGCCACACCGACCAGGGCTCTTTGTACTTTTTGATTCACAATTATACCTGATGCCTGTACTCTTATGTTTTTCAACTTTATAGATATTTTCAGAATCTACAATTGCCTGCTGCATAAAAACACCTGACTGGGCCCACTATATTTATTCTGAATATTGTCATTCAGTATCTTAACAAAGAGCAATAACTTTTACCACAGCACACATGTTTTTCGGGCACATATTTACCTTAGATGAGCAACTCCTATGTTGGGGGTTTCCTTTGGTTTTAACTTTTTTTTGTCGTGTAAATTTAAGTATAACATTTTCCTACTACCTTGCATACTGGATTGTTTCTTTTTTTTTAAATATATTTTATTGATTTTACATAGAGAGTTAGAAACATCGATCAGCTGCCTCCTCCACACCCCTGACTGGAATCGAACCCGGGACTCCTCAGTCCGCAGGTTGATGCTCTATCCACTGAGCCAAACCCGTTAGGACTGGATTGTTTCTTTATGTGTAAAATGAGAGGGTTGGATAAATACCCAAGATTCCATCTCAGTTTAACAATTTTGAGTTATAATTCAGGATTTGCCTCATATTTCTTATTTGTTATAGATGATGGTAGGAGTGCTTATCTACATATTCAAAGGACTGAATGCAAATTAATTAATTAATGTTTATTTATACTTTTATATTAATACTAGAGGCCCAGTGCACGAATTTGTGTACAGGTGGAGTCCCTCGGCCTGGCTAGCAATCGAGGCCGATCAGGGCTGTCTCGCCCAGTCTTGATTGAGGCCAAAGGTGGCCAGCCCACTGGGGAGGGACCATAGGAGGGCTCCAGGGTGTGTTCAGCCCTCTCACCTAGTCCTGATGGACTGGGGCCCCAGCAGCAGTCTAACCTACGGGTCAGAGTGTCTCCCCTCTGGTGGTCAGTGCGCGTCATAGCAGCTGATCCAGCGGTTGGCCAAACAGCTGATCAGTCGGACACTTGGCATATTACGCTTTTATTATATAGGATATGTTAATTTTAAGGTGGAATATGTTTCTATGAACAGTACTAGCTTTAAAATTAAGTTTGTAGCAATGTACAAGATATTTAATGATTGAAAATACTGATTTTTTTTAAATACTGGAAACTAATTTTTTTTAGAAGTTGCAAATCTAGGTTGGAAGATATGATAAATTTCTCCAAAGTTCAAAGTCTTATTTTTCAAGGTTCAAAGAGATGGCATATTATGGTTTGTCCTTTCATCTCACAGTAGTCAGGAAATTTGGATATGCATTTTTTGTTTCTGTTGCTAGAAACTCATTGAAATTTGTCACCTGTCCTTACCCCGAGAAAAAGTTTTTTCACATAAATAAGGTGGCTTCTATAAGTAAATTATAAAACCCTAAGCCACAACATTTTTAGAAGGCTATCTTTGATTCCTATAAGGAATGGATTTTACTACTTCTGTCTCCTGTTATAAAAATGTAGTTGAACATAGAATGCACAAAAATTATTTTAAATTTAAAGTTAAGAGGTGAAACTAGCCCTGACTGGTTTGGCTCAGTGGATAGAGTGTCAGCCGCAGACTGAAAGGTCCCACGTTCGATTCCAGTCAAGGGCATGTACCTTGGTTGCGGGCACATCCCCAGTGTGGGGTGTGCAGGAGGCAGCTGATCAATGTTTCTCTCTCATCGATGTTTCTAACTCTCTATCCCCTCTCCCTTTCTCTCTGTAAAAAATCAATAAAATATTTTTTTTTAAAAAGGTAAAACTAAATATCTGAGATCAATTCCAGATCCAAGGTTTTTTTAATTGTCATGAATTTTAATTGGTTTTCTAATTGTTTTTTCCTATTATAATTTCAGGGTTAGTCAGCAAAATAAAATCAACCTAATGACAGCAGACAACTTATCCATCTGTTTTTGGCCAACCTTGATGAGACCTGATTTTGAAAAACGAGAATTTCTGTCTACCACTAAGATCCATCAGTCTGTTGTAGAAACATTCATTCAACAGTGTCAGTTTTTCTTTTACAATGGAGAAATTGTAGAAATTGTGAATACTGTTGCTCCTCCACCACCTTCAAATCCAGGACAGTTGGTTGAACCAATGGTACCGCTTCAGTTACCACCTCCACTGCAACCTCAGCTAATACAACCACAGTTACAGACTGATCCTCTTGGAATTATATGAGTAGGAAGTGATTGCAGACAGCCTGAAAATGGACAGAAAGCAAACCTAGACATGCATGTTTCAGGGTTCAGTAGTATACTTCATGTTTCTTACAGATTGAAAATGATGAGACATTTTCTCTTTGAACTATATGGTATTCTTTATTCATTTACATTACAAATTTAAGACCATGTGCTAAGCATGACTGGAGAGGTTTAATTTTTATAAACAAAAATAGCTATAAAATACAAAAACTGCTGTTGCATGCAACCTCATTGCAATCAGTGTATCATTCCTGTGGCATTTTCTGTCACATTATATTGTGAATAAAATTTTTCTATAGAAATTAAATGATTTAAAAGCTCACATATATGAAACATTTAATGCTTTTCAGCCTACTTTATGGCTGGTTTTGTTATTTGATGTACTAATTTGGGCAACCTAATTTACTTTACATTTTAGCAGTCAGTGTAGATAATTAAAAGCCCAGTTAAGTATTTTTTAATTTCAGGCTACTTATGCCATGCTTGGGATGTTGTTTGAAAGAAAGAAGAATACACTTAACATTTTTCTGCACCATCTTTACTGCTAAGTAAACCTGTGGATGATACGATGAGGGGTAAAATGAGCATATTTCTTGTACACACATACCAAGGACACACTTGTGGCTAAAGTGAGTTGATAATGTGCAAAGGATAGTTGTCACCAACTCATTTCTTTATGGTACATATAAAATAAACATCTTGTATACTGTTAATTCTATAAACAGATGCATGTTTAAAAGATCTATGATGGTCTTGTAATCTTAATCTAATATATTTTAGATATTTTAATTTTTTCCCTCTTGGGAAATACATTTAGTATAGTGTAGAAAATACTTCATGACATTTTCATATAAGGTTATATAACTTTTCATACATAAACATGAAATTTGTTGTAGAAAATTCATTAAACCAAACATTTTAATCTAGGACTTCAATTTAATCTGTTTCTTGAATCTATTTTTATGTGGCCCTTAAAAACATCCAAAAATCCATTGCTAATATAGCAATAAAAATACTTTGGGTACTGACAGCCTCTTTGGAGTGTGTATATGTATAATTGCAACCTTGTATTCATATTGTTTTCTGTGGTATGTTGTACTAAAACCTAAAGTGTCTTTTGCACCATTTTTTAACCATTTTTTTCCTTTAATGTTGGTACCAGATTTGCTATAAGTGACTGCTGCTTCTGGAGTTAAATATTTTGTTAGTGAAGATACACCAGAACACTAATTATGGATAAAATTTTTAGCATAGGTGGCATAGGTAAATTTTGTTAGGCTTTATTCAAAATTTGTTCATTATCATACCATGCCATTTTTTTTTTCTGGAAAGGAAGAAAGCATTTGTTTTTCATTGTTTTGTGTACTAAAGAGAAAATTCTTTGGTCCATGTTGTAATCTTTATTCATACTACAATTTTAAGGTTGTCTTATGTGTATTATAGTAAACAGACGATTTTGAGATTCCAGGCTCCTAAGAGTTTGATTTGCTCCATTTTTTCCTAAAATAAATGTTGTCTTTCCCAACTGTTATGTCCTAGGTATGTACTTCTAATTTCAACTTCAGAATCAAGATGTCGACATGAACCAGGCTGCTGTTAAAGTACATGTATATTATAAATTATTTGTGTTATACTCTTACATGTTATTATCTTTTCTAAGAAAACAAAGTCCCTATTATTCCTATTGCAGAGCACACAGGAATTAAGAAAGTACAGTAATTTTTAAAAAGAAAAATCCGGTAAATGTAGTATTCTTAACTTGTTATATATTACTTATACCTGTTGTCTACATAGCTTTAATTTATAGCTGTCAGTTTAACATTGGCATGTTTGGCAAAGAAAAGTAAACTTTAAGAGTTTTATAAACTGTTTCTAGGTTGCTAAAAAATTTATTTTTCTACTATATATGGTATAGACAAAGCTCAAAACTATGTACAGGAAAAAAGCCTGACCATTTCTTTGGAAGTAGGCTGAAAAGAGAATTTTCAGAACTGTTTGTGTCTTCAGTTCACTTTCTCATAACTTGGCTGTTGTTAATATGTGAATCCCAGTTTATTTAAGCTATTCTCTTTTATACTGTGTTAATTTAACTTTCATGTTTATTTAGAATCATCTTTGTTATTAAAACTATCATTTATCATTTTCTACATTAACTACCTTATACCTTCCCTAAAACTTATCTCCACTTTTCTATGCATACTCTAATTGATTTGAAAATCTTCAGGGTGAGTCATTTGAAAGTATACATTTGGTTCAACCAATCAGAAGATTACAGTTAATTGAAAATTAAAGTACAGTTTAAACCTCAGTCTGTTACACTGAATTGATTGTGTTTGTTTTACCAAGGGTTTAGAAAATGTTTTTAAATATTAGAAAAATAATTTTAAGAACAGAATAATATAATTAAACTTTTTTCTGATAAGTTACTGGAAGGTTTCATCATTTAGGAACATATATATGAGACTTTTTAAAGGATGGAAAGACTATTAGTCTCATAATTATGGGTAAACATTAAGGCATTATATTTTACAATTTTAAATAAAATTCCATCTACACCCATGTTGCCATTGTTTCATTTAAGCTTGTAGTTATTACAATATTGTACTTAATAGTATCTATATTAGTAATAGTGGTACTCTTTCAAATTTTCAGATTTATTGGAAGTCAAATGCTGTTCAACAAACAATTAGAATATATAATTAAATTTAGAACAAAATTTCAGGCACAAAATATTTCTATTTGAAATGGAATTTGCTAGTAGTGCTTCTCCCTCCCCCCTCCCAATATTTGCAATGTAAAAACTGTAGGTAATAGCAGTCTAACCTGAATAGCAGCTTTTATTTTCCATACTGTTTGTAAATAATGTAGACATTTTATTTGAGGTACTGGAATTTAATTTCTAATATTTCTTAGATATAAATGAAAGGGGAAAATTAGAATAACAACTTGGGCCTTAGCTTTACATGGTGATTTTTAGGTTTTTTTTATACAGTAATAATTGTGATGCTTTTTGTCAACAATATAAATATATATGTATATAATTTCTAAAAAGTCAAAAGTGCTTTGTTTTTTGTTTATAATTAATATCATTTTGTGCTTTACCCACAGGATGCTTTAGTATCAGTGAAGCTTCTGTATAAAGAATGCTGTGAATAAAATATTAAGAAGCTGTGTGATTTTAAGTTCTAGTTGCTTCTGATTTTACCAGTTCACATTGGTAAAATCAACTAATCTTTTTGTGAATAAAATAGGAAAAAATAAATTGATGTCAATATGATGCAAGTTTTATTAGGAAAGTGTAGTACTGAGCTTTTACTCTGTACCATGAAAGGAGTTTAAAAATTCATTCTGGATATATACATACAGATGAAAATTCATTTTTATAAAGTATTCAGGTAAACAGAATTACACAGATTTCTAAGACTCAGAATAAAATTGCTTTTACAGTATTTTTTGTATTCATAAGGATCATTTAAAGTAATCCCTTCATGATTTATGAATATAAAGCTAAATTTCATGAGTGTATGTTAGATTCTATGGATCTAGTGAGGTCTCTTTGACTTGGGTCTTTTTGTGTGTGCTTGTCTTGAATTTAATCATTTTAACCAAATACCTTAATTCTTAGGTTGAACAATTTGACTTGTTTCAATACTTATGGGACATGTTTAATTTTTCATTGAAGTTCTCAGTAGCTTTTCAATTTACCAATCTTTGAAAATAAAATTTTCTAAGATTTAATAAGGGAAGGAACTACTCATAAAAATTAATTTCTTATGGTAAGTAACGTCTGTGAGTAGTTGTGAAGACTGTAAGCATTATTAGCTCATACCCAATATTCAGTTATTGGATAATGATATTGGATATGAGATATTAATATGATCTTATAATGTGATAATGGATTATTAATTTTGATCCAAGTACCATGATTCAGTTATTACCACGTTTAATATAAAATTATAAGCCTTGGAATTACTGCAGTGCTGGCAGTGCTGGTTTTTGTCATTGTTACCATAGTAAGGAATACTAAGTCTTGCAGTGTATGAACTCTGAGTAGTTGTCAAGGAATTTGTATTTAGAAACAGCTTGCTTATTCCCACAGTGGAGATTTTCTATCAGTTTTATTTGTCTTAAGTGGTAAAAATTATTATGAACAAATTAATAATGGTTCTCCTAATAGTTTGCCCAATTTTTAGTTAAGAATTTCTTTGTATTATAACCTATTTTTTCAAATTTCTATTTTGCCTTGTCCTTTTTTTATTTCCCCCTCAGAGAAGAAGGGAGAGGGAGAGAAACATCAATGATGAGAGAGTGCCGGAAGCCGGTCCATCCTTGCTGCTTGACACAGTCGCTGCAGGGAAGAAACATCTGCACAGCATGTGTTTCAAGGGACCTGGTGTATATGGCATACTGTTCTTAATATGTTTGCTCCCCTTCTTAGCACTATGTGTTTTAACCAAGGTCACCTCTCCGAGAAAGGTTTCCCCAGGTGGGATTTTTTCCCTGGAGTTAGGGATTAACAGGACTAAGGAAGGGAATAAATCCATAAAACCCCTTAACTAAGTGCCAGGCGGGTAGTTAATCACTTTACGAACAATCACGCTTAAGCTACATAATCTTTACTTAGAATAATCTCCTTCAGTTACATCCTTGTAGCTTAATAGAACAATAGAGTAACCTTGGAATGGAGATAAGAAACGCCCTAACCTTTGGAATGGAATGGATAGGATTAAAATCAACTGGTATAAATACAGATGTAACAGGACAATAAAGACCGAACCTGGCTATGATGATCAACTGAATGCTGCCTCCGTGTCATTCCTTCTTCGCCGACTCCGTCTACACCTTTGGGAACCTCGGGACCTGTTGGGGGTGGACCCCGACTAGAGAGAATCATTGATCGGCTGTCTCCACCCTGGGGATTGAGCCTGCAACCCTGGCATGTGCCCTTGACTGGGTTCGAACCTGTGACCCTTCAGTCTACAGGCAGACGCTCTATCTACTGAGCCAAACCAGCTAGGGCTGTCTTTTTCCTTCCTTCCTTCCTTCCTTCCTTCCTTCCTTCCTTCCTTCCTTCCTTCCTTCCCTCTTCTTTTTTTAATTTTAGAAGATGTTTATTAAAACTGGGGAAGTGAAACAGGAAAGGGCTGGGAACATGAGCCTAGACTGTGCTGTTTTGGCTCACTAAGAAGTCTGAGTACAGGGGTCCTGGGGTACAGGTTCAGGGAGTTTGCCTGGGATGAACTGCCAATGCCCATAGCTGCCCTGGTTGCAAGCCTTGTGGGGTCTTAACAGAGTTTAGGAGATGCCTGCCTTTGAGGAAAGATGGGGAGGAGGGTGGCGCAGGCATGCTCGTGGGAGGGAGAGTATATCTGCATTAATTCTTATCCCAGTATAAGTGATGTAGGTTTAGCAATTAACCTATTTAATCACCACTTTACTAATTTATTCAAATTAGTTTTAATTTTGTATTTGTGTTCACATCATTTTCTTGTGACCTTGACCTTAACCAGTTTTAGATTTGGAGCCCTTAGTTTCCCTTTTCTCTAAATTCTTTGTATTTCATTTTATTCAAATGTCTTTGTAGGTGCTCAATGACACCAACGTATATTTAACATCCTAAAATGATAAGTAAAATTTGAAGCAATGCACATTATCCTCACTGTTACTATTTTTGTGGGACTTGGTTTATTTTAAATGTGTCAAAGATTTTTTTTAAAAAAAAATCTAGCTATCCGAGGGAATGTAGTATTTAGATACCCCCTAGATTTACTTCTTGGAAATTTCATTTCCAGATTTTTCATCTTTGTTGGCACTTGGTATATATAGAGAAAACATTACCAGCAATGTACTTTTTAAATAAAAACTAAAATCAATCCACTTCTTTAATTATAAAATAGTTGACTGATCCCTGGCTTAGGGTGTTAGTAAAATTAAATCTTATAAGTTTTATCCATTTGGAATAATGTATGAAAGATTAAGTCAAAATAAGATATGTAAAAAATCTTACAAAGGATGATGATAGTTTTTCTCTATTTTTACCACCTTTTTCCCCAAAGGTAATGATTAAATGCATAGAGCTATGTAGAATAGTTGATAGTTTTAAAATACAAAAAATTAATAAAACATTTGGAAGATAGGACTGGGATATATCAGAATGGAATTGCTTTCCATCTTAATTTGTGTTCTTAAGGATCATTTAAAGTAGTGTATTTGGGTTTTTTTGAGGGCCTTGATTACATCTCCGCACAGAGGTTAATCATGATCACTATAGGTAATAGATCAATAAATTGTGACAGATTAATGAAGTAATGTTTCTAAACTAGTCCAAAAATATCAAAATCATGTCCATAATGGATCTAGAAGAATGTAACCGATCATTATTTAACACATTTCGTACCGCATAGAAATCTCTAAGACATACACGCCAGGGACCGCACGTTTTTGGGCAAACTGCACGTTATTTAAATCATAACTACAGGTCATAATGCACTTTAGGTGTTGTTTTTCAATAATTATAACATTTTTGTTTACAAAAACAAAGTTCCTAGTACTTTTTTAACATATGGAACTGCGTAAAACATTTTCTAAAAGTGCCAGGAACTTGAAGACGAAGACTATTCGAATGACCAAAATACAATGTAACTGCAATGCTTTATGGGTTCGTGCAATTATATAGTTTTTCATAGATTGACCTGCACGGTTTCCACCAATGAGATCGCTTCATTCGATGTGGACAAGACAATGTGTTGACATCTAAGGTCTGTAACAGATGGCACATGAAAAACGAGAAAACTCGTTAGCGGTCCTTAACAGATGGCGCTAGAAACACGAGAAAGCTCGTGAGTGGTACGAAAGGTGTTAATGGATGGTCTCTTCAAAGTGTAGGTTTCTGCTTTTGAAATCTTTTTGGCTATTTTGAGACTATATTTAAGTGCTATATGAGGCAAATCCTAACTGATTCAGATTTAAGTTTAAACAAGTTCCTTCAGCTAAGAATAACCTTAGAAGTTTTAATGTGTAGGCTTTTGAGTGTTTTTCTGTTTAAAGCAGTGGTTTCCAAACATCAGAATCACTTGTGGGAAAGATCAAGCTATCCAGAAGGCAGCCGACTACAATATATAAATCTCTGAGGTGCAAGAATAAGATATTTCTTTCCAGTTACATGCTTATAAATTGTATCTGGAGAGGACATGAGTTTTTGAGAGAAATAGCTTGTATGGTAAGGGCAATCAATTTTAAACATATCAATATGTAGACTTGATAGTTACTAAGCAATTTTATAATAAACTAGAGGTCCAGTGCACGATTTTGTGCACCTGTGGGGTCCCTCAGCCTGGCCTGTGGGATCGGGCCGAAACCAGTTCTCCAACATCCCTCGAGGAGTCCCAGATTATGAAAGGGCACAGGCCAGGCCAAGGAACCCCAC